GGGAATTCGTGGGAGTTGAAGTCCACACATCTTAAAGTTCCCAAGGTTGAGTAACGCTGTGCAAGAGAATCAAAGCTGGGCAATTTTGAGTTTCTTCTGACTCCCTCCTCCCTTCTCAGGCTAAACTGATATTTCTCCAACACATGTTCGATAACTTCTTCAGGGCCATCTCTGTTCTCCTCTACATATACATAGGCAAAGCCTAATACCTACATTACTACATCCTATCAGGAAGAGAGTCCAAGAACATGTGCTCTGTTTTTGTATGCCTGGGAAGAAAGGTAGAAGGATATGACCTCAGATTAGCAATCCTTTAAAAAAAAAGACCAGGTAGAGTGAGGGCCAAAGAGGGGACACAGAGAAACTCCTTAATCCTCTATCAACATGATACTTGTGAACAGTTGGTTAGGGATAAAGTTAGATTTTGAGGAATCAGTTCCATTAATCCACTCCTCCAACATGTATGAGTCTGAGTTTTTAATTCTGTTTTAATCCTTGCAAAAGTAAATTGGAGCATCAGACAGAAAAAGAAAGTTAATGTATCATGTAGTTCTGAAGAGCATTTTGTGACCTTCCCCTTCCACTGGAGATGGCACCATCCAGAACTGTAATCCTTTAATCTGTGTATTATGTATAATACAAAGCCAAGATTTTTTAACCATGGTAGAGCTGAACAAGCTGTAATAGTTTGGTTTGTTAATATGGTAATAAACAATACTATGTTACGGCTTCTTGTTGCACTGAAAGTGAGTTTGCCATGGGCCCATTAAGAAAGTCGAGTTGATGCTGTAGTCATTATGTAATGATTATGTGCTAGTGGACTAATATATTGTGTCACTATTTTTCTTCTTCTGTTTCCATAAAAAAAAAAAAATCTCAGCAGCTTCTTTTCTACCACCTTCTTCTTTAGGATCTTGGGCATGGTGCCACTTATTAAGACAAACATTACAGCACCTTGGAAACTACACGTTCATCCTCACCTAAACTGGCCAGTGACTTTGAATCCTCTTTTCCTTCTTGCCCTGTATTATTTACTGGTCGCAATATTGCAGCAGTGTGCACAGGTATGGTGTATATTAAAATGCAATACAAATAAGCCAGAACATTGAGATTTCCCCTTATGGACACAGAATTATCTAGTTTAGCTTAGTATTCCTGGTCCACCTGCATCTGAGTGATCCTTCTATTTTTATAAGTCTCCTTTTCAATAGGTATTAAACCCTCCACTACTGGTTAGCATTTGAAAGAAAGTCCAACTAGCCAGTATGTATGTATGTATGTATGTATGTGATGAGATTTATATACTGCCCATGTATACAAGATATCAGATGGTTTGCAATAATAAATATAAATAATAAACATAAATCAACCACATCAAAGCTGAGAGAGAGAGAGAGAGAGAGAGAGCAATCATGATACCAAAATCAATTCCTTTCTGGCTCAAACAACATATGTGTATGTGTTTTCCCTTTCCAATTCAAAAAATGGATTAAAGTTACTGTACAAACTTTTTAATAGGGCTATCTGTTAATATCTCTGCTAGATTGTTTTGAAAGAAGTGTGTCTTCATCTTACAAATACTGTAGAGTTGTTCTAAAAATGTATTATTAGTGGACCATTTGTCAATATTTCAGATTTTTCTGGGTTGTCCTACCAGAAATACTTCTGTCTCCCCTGATAGTCTAACCTTGAAGATGTGGAAAAAAATATATAGTAATTGTTTTTATCCAAACGGTATATTCTTCTTCTTCCATCCATATCTTAGAAATTGAGAGTGGTCCAATGAATAACTCAGAACCTTGATTATACTAAAAAAGCCAGGAAAGAACCCCCAACCTTTTAAAAAGGTTATTCTTGTCCTCTACTACCCCTAACTAGCCAACTTGAATTTGATTTCCTTGTTGTATCTCCTACTCATATTGTGATCTATTCATACCTTTCTCATTCTCCAGTTGCCATCTTCTATCCCCAAAAAATGGATTCCAAATTTTGATCTCAAGACAGGATGAACTACCATGTCCTGTGGCTCAAAAATTATGCATCTGAGTCTTTAGCAGGCTACTTTTTCTGACAATGATGAGACCAATACAATTGCCTGTTTCAACTACAAACAGGTTTGCACTAGGCAGCACAATTGTTGACTAGGAACAATACGGGTAGTCCTCACTTAAGGACCTTAACTGGGACTGGCAACTCCATCGCAAAGTGAAGGGGTTGATAAGTGAAGCATCACATGACTGCCCCTCTTAATGACGGCCGCTCCAGCAGTCCTTGTTGCCATTGTTAAGTGAATCCCGTGCCGAGGTCCCACCCTGATCCAAGTCATTCTTCTTCCAAGGCAAGGGACTGCCTCCACTTTAATTCTCCACACCTGCCTATTTCCCCCCTATTTCTGCCCTTTTGGCCACCTGCCTACCCCGCCATTGCCATTGCCGCCATTGCCAGCTGCTGTGCCCACTGCTATTGCAGGCCACCATCCCTGCTGCCGCCACTGATGCAAAGCAATACAATCCTCCCCGCCGCCACTGCTACCGCTGCCCCCTGCCCCCTACTGCCCACCACTACGCCTGCCTGGTGGGTGGCAGGCGGTGGCAGAGGGGGGCAGCAGTGGCAGCCTTAGGAATCAGCACCAGACAAACAGTCTGGCAGAAACAATACTCTAATCAAAGGACCACCAAGGAGAAAACCTCACCTCCACCAGGGCAACCTACTATATATAAACAGGCAGCAAACCCCACACTCACTCTCACTGATGATGTTACCTAGTTGGGCAATGAAACGTCTGCAAGTGAACGACCCAAGCTCAGAGAGCAGCAAGGACTTTACAGTTCAACCCTGAGCTAAAGTTATTCTCTTCTGTTGGAAGACATCTCTTCTGTTTCTGGTGAATTCCAGTCACAAGATTTTAAAAATTATTTGATGTGCACGCATGCCTATATGTACGCTCACATGCATACATACAATGAGCATATTTAACTCAGTCTTCTGCTCAAAGGACACATGACGTGATTCAAGATAGAAGTACAACCTAATCCCTATTAGCTTGCAGCAGGGATTTAATTTAAATTTAATTTAAATAATTAATTTAAATTATTAAATTTAAAATAATTTAATAACCTCAGTGGAAAAAAAATTATTATCACATCAGACAGGTGAATAAACTGCATGTTCTGTTAAGCACAATGCAGGTTTCCGATTTTTCCCATATTATTTCTAGTGGCCTGGGGAAGAAACCCTCACTGTTGCAGTCCTGTGTTAGTCCTGCCAAGAAGATGCATCTATTAGACCTTACTAGTAAATCAGTTAAGTTACCAATGCCTGCATTGAATTGATCCTAGATTCTATAATCAACCTTTAAAACAAGATCTATTCTAATTGTATGAGATCTGTTTTAAGAAGCGAAAGATGTGTACAAGAAAGAGGAGCTGAGTTGTCTGGCTAATATTGGGTATTGGGCCTTTAGCCGGGAGAAAAGTGCCTGGAATACAGGGCTATGAGAAGTTAGTCCTGGCTACTGAGAGGATTCTGCATCCCTTGCTTTCATTCTTTCCATTCCTTAAAGCAGTGTTGTCCAAACTTGGCCACTTTAAGATGAGTGGACTTCAACTCCCAGAATTCCCCAGCCAGCCATGCTGGGA